TACACAAACTGAGACCAAATGTTAGATTAGATCATACCTTACTGCTCATATGCATAATAATAAAAAATAATAAAAGGTTTTGCATTGATATGATTGTGCACCCATTTTTTGCTGTTTGCTTGTTTCATAAATAAAGCCCACTGATTTTACATTTAAAGTTGTCTCCCAGACATGGGTTGCGACTGGAAGCGCATCCGCTGCGTAAAACATATGATGGGTAAGTTGGCGCTTCATTCTACTGTAATGACCCCAGAATAATAAAGGGACTAATTCGAAAAGAAAATGAATGAATGAATGAATATCAGTAATATGGCTACTCGTGTGGCCTTTAGACAATTACATTTGTGATAGAGTTCAGACCTTCTAAAGGGTCTGGTTGTACCATATCATACGTAACATTGTTTTAGAGTAGTCATTTGAGTGATAATACTTACATGTTGGATGTATATGTAATATGGGGCACAGGTGAAGACTGCAGAGATCGAGCTGTAGTTTTCAATGTATCTGGAGGTATCCGGGCAGGGAGATTCCGTAACTGATTTGAAGGAGATAGGGGTGGTTCTTGGACCTTTTGTGTTGGGCTGGGTGATCTAGAGGAGTGCCTGGGTGATTGAGGTATGGAAAGGCATTTTGACTGGCAGCTTGGAGGTGAAGGCAGGACTGATGATAGGAAAGCTGCTGGTGATAGATTCTCACTGTTTGGAGTACTCCTTGCTTTAGGAATCAAAGTCATGCTGGAACACATTAATGTCTGAGTGGGTGCATGAAGAGGAGGGGTCACTAAGGGTGCAGGAGTTGTAGCTGGAACACAAAGATCATTTGGCTTGCTGGTCTCAGTGTCATGTGTGTGGAAACTGGGCAGGGACTGGATAAAATGGCGAGGGCGCTCATAATTAAAAGCACTTGGAGGGTACAATGATGGTGAAAAGGTGGGCAGGTCAGCCACATTCGTGGCACTGCCCTTGGATTCTACTTGTTTATTCAGCTTGCTGGTGAGAAGGAATGGATGTGGAACACTGTTTTTAACTCCCTTTGGTGGAGAATCAAGTTTGATCATTGGGGAGAGGTTTGTATCTTCAGCCACCTTACTGACAGAACTCTGTTCGCTGTCAGTGTCTGGGAGAGACTCAACCTTTTTAATGCCAGACTCCAGTACCCTGTTGGAAAGAACATTTAGACTTAGATTACTTATGCCAAGCAAAAAAAAAAAAATGTCACTGATGATATGCAGTCTAGTGACTATTAAGAGGCATTTTGCAACGTGACAATGTTTTACAGGTAAAATTTAAAAATACAGGCACACTAAATCATGCTTAAATAATGCATTGAGACATAGACAGCATCACTGATTATGATGAATTTCACTGTGCTTGCTTACATTGTGCCAGAGACAACATACGTTCTCTGACATAACTTTCATTGGGCAACTGGGCTCAAACATTGGTGTGGTTGTCCAATGCCTAGAATCTACGACCACAATGATCTCAAAGTTGAATAAGGTACCATGCTAAATATTATGCGAAGTGGAATTAAATAGATGGCATGGAATTTACATGCACCTATAAGAAAACTAAAAAGTAGATTCATCAGAGTACACCAGTAACAGATGAGTAAACCAGCACAGATGTTACAATTTGGCCTCTATTACAACAGGAACAAAAATAGTATCCATACATAATGTATAACACACTACGAGAAAACCATTACATTTCTCTTTACACTATATTTTAAAAGACACTGAATAACAGTCAACCCTATACGCCACACACAAACAGTGCTGATTTTCAGAAATAGTCACATAAGACCTTATTTAAAGTACATTTTTTATAATTTATTCAGGTGTTAATAATATTATTAGATAAACAAGTGTTCATAACATTGAATAATGCCGCTGCTGGCGTGTTTCTATGCAAAAGCCATGCTGCTAAAAAAAGTCTTTGGGGTTTTGTCTGACAGACGTGGCAGGTGCAGTTCATTTACGGCTACACTGGCACTGAGTTACCCTCTTTTGGAGGTCATTTTTGAATAAAGAACTGAGCTGACGTAAAATCATTTACTCCACAATGGCACTGTGTTTTTTTTTCTAGTAACAACTGGAAAGAAGTATTTGTATAAACAAGAATGGCATTATTTATAACAATTCTAATTAGCACCTTAAGTTACTCAATTGTGGTCATTGTCCATGATGGTAGTACTGAGCTCCAAAACAGATACAGTTTGGACTGACAGTTTGTGTCAAATTAATACATATTTAATTCATGTATTTCTTGTAAGTAAAGAAGGGCAATGGCTTCACAGAAATGTTTGATTAACTGTTGGTTTACATAAAATTTGAGCCTTTAGCAGGATGAATTATTACATTTTGCAGCCTATATAGACACCTCTGTATCACAACATTAAACGATTTTCATCAAATATTTATGGCACAAACACAGCAATGAGTGAAATGTCAAAAAGCTTCAGTAACAACCATAGTCATATTGTTTGACCCTCTATATGACCTACAGATTGACTAAAAACCTAATTGTTTATAAAACAAATTACACATTTAAATTTACCTGCATATAAGAATGGCAAATGCAATGAAATAAACTTCAAAAAAAGAATCAATATATACTATATACATATAAGGAGTTGATAATCTAGATCACAAATATTGTGCTTACCTGCTTTGTAATATGGGTTTCCTGGCCAGTAAGATCAGGTTGATTTAAAAGGTTGAAGGTAGTGTGGTTTGTCTGCCACTTGCCTCTATTTCAACAACAGGAACTATATTTCACTCAATGAGATACTGTTGGGCTGGATATTTATAGAAAACTATGTGAAGGCAGTAGGCACATGCCCCCACCATTCTTAAAGAACCACCCATTCAATTGGTGAATGATCTAAACTTGGCCTTGAATATTTAAAAACTAATCAAGGATCAAGAATTTCTATTGTACTTCATAAAAACCACATTGTGTCAATACTGCTTTACAGAAATAAACAAATAAAGTAGTAAAGTAGCATTAATATGAAATGAGTTCAGTACATCAAGCTGTTTCATTAAAATCAGTTCAACTGTAGAGTGGCTCTATCACCCCCAACTTAGCAAGCTAAATATGGCACTGGCAAGGAATGCTGAGTAAATCTAAGTACGACATACAACATAACTCTCTATTCAAAATGATTAGATTGTTCTAAGCCATTGATCCTTTGGTTTACCGGATATATATTTTGTCTATATTTTAATTGCCACAGCCATATCACCCTGCAGCCCAAGATCGGTTACTCACTAAAGCTAAGCAGGGCTGAGCCTGGTCAGTACCTGGGAGGGAGACCACATGGAAAAACTAGGTTGCTGTTGGAAGTGGCGTTGGAGAGGCCAGCAGGGGGTGCTCAACCTGTGGTCTGTGTGAGTCCTAATGCCCCAGTAAAAGTGAAATGGACACTATACTGTCAGCGGGGCGCTGTCTCTTCACTTCACCAATAGCTGGAGTATGGTGAGCACACTGGCATTGTTGTCTGTGGCTGCCATCGCATCATCTAAATGGATGCTGCACACTGGTGGTGTGGAGAGATCCCCCTCATGGTTATGAAGCGCTTTGGGTGTATGGCCATACACAATAAATGTGCTGTATAAATACACATTACATGCAATTAATAATTGTTTGCATTTCTGTAATCAGTGAATTTACGTTTACTGTGTAACACTGCTAGCTTATTGCAAATATTTTGCTTTTAAATTTGTTGGATGACAATGTCTGCATTATAGTTTCCTCTTAATATCATCCCAAAGGTGTTCTGTTGGGTTGAGTTCAGAAGTTTGTGCAGGGCACACAGCAAATTCATTGGTGTTAAATTTCAAGTGTTGTGGTAATTCAGAGTAAAGTGTTAAAATTCTGGAGTTAGATAAAGGTAAAATAACCCTCTCGGCGCTAGAAGCTGATTTGCCTCCTTGTCACACAGAGTAACATGGATCTACCTTTGTAGAAAACCCTTGTATTTGAGAAACTAATCAGAGTGTCTGAAATCTCGCCACACCCTCATTCACCTGGCCCATAAATTGGTCAATTAGTTTAGTCCACTAGACAGAGGGAATGACCACAAATAAGTGAATTCAGACACCTGCTGTTGAACACCTGCTGTTAACAAGCACAATCACTAAAGGAATAAGAAATTGAAGGAAGAAATAAAACTACTGACACAGCCTTACACCAAACCAACTGAATTAAAACAGAGGATTAAACAACTTTTTTAAATAATAGTATAAGCAGCTTCACTGATTACTGTTTGACTTCATTTCTGTAAGAATGTTTGACAATGAACAGAGGTTTATTTTTTTTATTAAAAATATTTCATTTGACCTCACCATCATAGAGATCAGAGGCTGCTTATTTGAGCTCTTGAAGCTTTACTCTTATATTCTAATGTTTCTCTGACTGTTATGGCTGTGTTTCTAAAACTCATCAGCTATAGCAAGAAAGGTCAAGATGAACTATACTGTTTGTGCTTAATTGTTTTAGATATAATATCAGGTGTTAAATAAACTGATTAATAAAAATATGCAAATATGGTTGTATTAAAACTGCAAGGGAAAATACTACTTGCATTCTGCTGCTTTTCATAGAAGATTCAACAAACAATTTGGATGCAATTAATAATTATAGTGTCATGCACTAAACATTCAAGCTCCAGCATACTTTTTATGACACACAGGCATCAAGAATCAGGATATGAACCTCAACCGTGGTGGCTAAAAAAAAAAAAGCTGCATAGTTCATGCCGCAATGCATGCTGGGTGCCAGCATAGTACAAAGCTCCCAGCATGCATTGCAGCATGAATAAATTATGCAGCTTTATGTTCTTACAATCTCTTTCTTTTCCTTTATTTTGTGTTGTTTTTGGGAGGTGATAGTTCAGTAGTGTTTTTTTTTACTTGATTTTAATTTTTTTGTTTGTCACCATTATTGAGATTCAAAGACTAATTGTTGATGTCTGGGTATTTTTAAGTTCTGCCATAGATCAAACATTCTCATTGTAAATATTGTTTTTATTTTATTGGAGCTTCAGTGGTTTCATTTATGTATATTATTTATTTCTCACACATAACTAATATGATACTGAATTAAAAAACAAGCAGGAAAGGATGGCTATGATATCATAAATAATCTCTTCAAACAGACACTTTAATTTAATTTCGGCTCTTCATGCTATATGTATAAATAGTGTGATTAACACTAACTATAGCAGCAAAAATAAAAGACAATTACAGCAAGAAGTTGACTGGTGACTTCAAATGAACAACAGAAATTTCATTAAGAGCTTTTGTTCACATGACAGAAATAAAGTCAAAGGTCAGTAATAGGTGAAGCTCCATGATAAGTTGTTTAATGTGATATGTTTTTTTTTAAAGATGTTGAAAAATAACATTTTTTATTGTGTAATTTGTTTTATTTTTATTGATTATTATTTTATGTAGATTTTTTTTTTCTCAGTTGATTTCATCTTTCGTTTTGGCTTGTGTTTTTCTTTCCTTCAGTGATTCTGCTTGTTAACAGTTGTTCATCAACAATTCTCAATCCTCCTTTAATTAGACACTTAATTGTCTCATTAACTAGTTAGGATTTTGCTCTGGAATTTAAGGCTTACGTGTTTTCGAATAAAAAATACAGACTATGGGATTTGTTTTTAACAGAAATATTCTGGAAACTGAATTTACGAATGTAAAATGTTGAAAACAGCAGATTACTGGCAACCACTGCTGCCAGTATTTTGACATACATTTAACAGATATTTTACACAATAAGAGTTTGCTAACTAACACTCTGGGTGTTAAACATTTTAACACTTTCAAAAGTGTTATTTTAACACTTATAGTGGTTCCCATATAAACTCTGAGGGAGTGTTAATTTTAACTCTAAGGTAGTTAAATCTATTAAACCTAAAATTTGCAGTGTGAGATCGATAAAAAAAATACAGACTGTTAAATGTGTTTTAACAGAAATATTCTGTAAACTGAATTTATGAATGTTAAAAACAGCAGATTACTGGCAACCACAACTGCTGGTATTTTTCTGTAAAATCTAAAAATGAAAAAAAAAAAAAAAAAAACAGCTAAACGGTTTTTGTGTCACCATTGTGGAGGATAATAGCATCTCTGTTCAAGTCCAAGATG